GGATTTTATTTTTTCTACAGGACTATTTTTACCAGAGAGGACAGTTTTTTCTGTCCAGAGTGTGGACAGTATTTTTGTCCCTAAGACCATTTTCACTAGTATATTTTGTCCTGGGGGACCAATTTTTCTATGGTAAATTTAGTCCGGGGGGGTCAAAAAATCCAGGACCAATTTTACTGTGACAGGCCTCCTCCCAACGACGTTGCTGCTCCTCCTGAAGCTTTGTTAAACTTGCCAAAGCTGCCGCTAATTGCTCCATCGGATCACTAACTCCTGTAATAAGACTTTCTTCCACTTCAGTACAGTCTTCCGTATCAAGTGAAGTATAACTCTCTCTGAAAATATGTAATCCTCGCAACTGTCCTCTGTAGTCGTGTCTTGGTAAGTCCCGTAGAGAATACCGCCCTTGATTCTCTCGACTGTTATCCGACATAAACAGTCACACCAGACACTATAAACTTTAGTCTCTCTCTCTTGCAGAGATACAATAGTGGGTCTTTCCTCTACAACCGTTTGAGAACTATCCCACCACTGCCACCAAAAAAATGTAACAGACGCTCCAACTATCTGTTAACCAAACTTTATTCTTAATCAACACGAGACTCAACTGAGCTCAAAAACCAACTAACAAAAACAAAACTAACTCACAACTAAAAAAACACACTTATATAGACCTTATAAATGTCCAGAAGGTTCTATAACATACAAGAATACTTTACATGATTGTTCTAGAATATACTTGAATAAACACATAATATATAATTACAATAGTACACAGAGAGTTCCGGATCCATTTAGAAACAACTTCTTACAACCATATTGAGATCTGTGATACCTACATTAGCATTAAGAGATTATCATTGTACACATCATGGTAGTCTTATACCTAGTTGTCCAGCTCCATCACTATCAGGATTAATATTAACAGTGGTACTGTCTTGATGAGGCTGTACTGGTGAAGCATCAGTAGCTACATTATATGAAATTTGAAAAATCAGTGATCAAGTCACTAATATACTATAAAATACTATGATATACTATAATTTCAATCATTGCAAGGAGTACACGAATTATTCAAAATTGGAAAAGTAGATGTGCTTAAGAACAATTCACACTGAAGTATGTTACGGCCAGAAGTACATGTAAACATAGGCATAACATAAAAGTTAAAAAATTTCTCAACTTTTACATTTAAGAAAATAACTACAAATACATATAAACATCTAAATTGTATCAGATTAAAGTATGCTGTTTATAATTGACTTACTTAATTCCAATCTGCATCTTTTAGAAGGTGGGTCTTCTGATGATGCTTTGGTTCCTAAAAAGTAATAATTTTTATAATTATTTTGAATAAATTAAAAGTAATGCTAATGCATCAATGGTGGGACTCTATCAGAATACTCTTCAATGTGCATTACTAACCTGGACTGGATGATTGACAATCACTAAACCAGCACCTGTAGCTATCATCATCACCTTGTAGTACTTTACAATCTAATCGACATTGAGTACACCTGGTAGAAGACAAATCTTCTTTGACAATGCAGTAAGATTGTTTATTTCTTCTGGGACACTTGAAGGCAAGAACATGGTTTTGACCAACTTTGAGATCATTGCTGCTTTTTTTGATAGCATCTGTAACTAATTCTCGAATTTGTGGACAAAATTCCTTGCTGGACTCATCTAAACGCAGTTCAATATGTGTATAGCGATTGATGATATCTATAGTGTACTCATCACTTTTTATGTCAACAGAAAGTGATATGGCATCATTATATCTGTAGAATTCCACTTCATCTTCTGAATCTGAACCAGAATCTGAATCTGAATCTGGATCAGGAGCAAAATCTACAATACCTTTTCTCTCTAAAAGGTGTACAATGGTTAATGGAAATAATCCTTGAGGAATGGCTAGTGTTGTTGTTCCACTATTGTTAATCTCCCATGCTATGAGAAGTGGTCGTATTTCTGTTGGTCGGTCATTGAGGCTATGCTGCTTATCATAAGGTAAAGATGGTAATGCACATGGAAAAAAATAGTCTCCTTCTCCTCTGTTTTCTACTTTAGCAATGATGTGGAGATTTTTTAGAAGATCAATCATGTGAGACGGTTGAAAATCATCATTAAAAATGTTTTGTGCACCAATTTTTTCTAAAAGAGTTTTTCTGAAAATGCCAAATTTCATAAGATTATTTCTTTCATTAGGTACCCTTGCAATCAAATGTAATTCATTATGGTCAACATATGTAATTGCAATTAGACGTGAAAGGACATCAAGAATTGGTTTAGGATCAACAAATATTATATTTGGTAGGATATCACGATAATAAAGAATGATAGTGACAATGTGTAAATATTGCAGAGCATCATCAATATCTGATTCCGATTCTTTATCAAGTCGAAGAGACTTACCAATCTCAATCACTTCATCTCGTGTGAGGAAACTTCTCTTCTTCTTGTTAGCTTCCAATTGTAGTGCAATCTCAAAAGCAAACAATCGAATTGGTAACTTAATTGTCATTTCAACTTTGCAATTTGAAACTGCAGTACAAAGCTCTACACTAGCTTCTTCTCTTTCCTTAGACCCAGCAGGGAGCAACGTATTAACTGGAAATATAATCGAACCTTTACGCTCATTTTGCTTTATGACTTTATCATTAGCTATATATTCTCTCAGACTTTTATTGGTTTCTTTTAGCTTTTTCTCGGTCACTGACTCATCATCTACACGTGTACCAAGTATAAGATAATGAGAGTGGCTAGGCTTGTCAGGCTTAGACTCATTAGAAATTTTATCTTTAGGCTTGTCAGGCTTAAAAACATCAGGAATTTCAATGGAAGTGGACATAGCTTCGGAGCAAATTGTTGAGCGAATTATATCACGATTAGAATACTTCAGATCTGTATCAATAAGAGACGGATGTTGATCAATGCGATACTGAAACTTGCACTTCTCATCAAGACCTTTGGTAAGATCAATGGTGATGATATTCAGTGCAGCTGCTCTTGTAAAAAGAGGTAGCAACTCTCGATATGCTGGCTGACCACCGGAATCAATAAAATAGACCCAATTTGTGCAAAACTTTTTGGTTTGTTGAACATTTCTAACATTTTGAATTACTTCTGTTTCAATTGGATCAATTTCAATTGATTTTTTCTCGGCTGATTCATTCTTGATTGTCTCTTCTGCACATTGTTCATTCTCGTCTTGTTTATTTCTGGGCAACTGATTTGTGGTTGAATCTTCAATTGATGATTCATCAGAACCATCAAATTTATCATCATCTTCAACTACAGGCATATCATCATCTTCAGACTTTAATGCTTCATCCACTTCTGAAGGAATTTTATCATTTTCTGTTTTGTCTTCTAAATTTTCTTCTAAATGAGATGCTAGCTGTTGATACAAATCTTTAATATTAACCCTCTCCCATTTATTATTTTTATCATCAATGGATATTCTTGTTGCTTGAACAGCAGGACAAGCTATTGGTGTGCTATTGGTAGAAGATGGTGGTGGCTCATTAAGTAGGAGGTGTTTTGAACACGTTTTACCAGCTCCAGGTGCACCATGCATATTGATACGAGTGACTTTCAGCTCAACTTTTCCTTCTTTTAGCCATTTTTCTATTCCTAAAAATTAAAGATATAAACCACATCATTTTAATAATAAAACTTTTTTACTTTCTTTATCAATCTCATCAACTACAGTATTTGTAATACCTGTATCTATAGAAAAGTGCAAAATATAAATATTTAATAAAACTTATGTCTCACTTTCTTCATTACTGTCACTTCCTTGTGTACTATCAGTGAGTTCGTCAGCCCCGGCTCCAGGTGCACCATGCATATTGATATCAGTGACTTTTAGTTCAACTTCACCTTCTTCTAGCCATTTTTCTATAAACATACCGGTAAGTGGTATGAAATAATAATTATTTATTATTAAAAAAATTAAATTTTGTCCCCCATTGATTTCTCTTTCATATGTTTATTATACTAACCTGGACTGGATAATTGATCACTAAACCAGCATCTATAGCTATCATCATCACCTTGTAATACTTTACATTGTAATCGACATTGAGTACACCTGGTGGAAGATTTATCTTCTTGGACGATGCAGTAACATTGTTTATTTTTTCTGGGGCACTTGAATGCAAGAATATGGTTTTGACCAACTTTGAGATCATTGCTGCTTTTTTTGATAGCTTTTGTGACCAATTCACAAATTTGAGGACAGAATTCTTTGCGACCGTAAAAGCATATTTCAATATGCGTAAAGTGATTGATGATATCTATTGTGTACTGTTCCTTTTCTACATAAACACGAAGTGACATGGCATCATGATATCTATAGTATTCATTGCCCTCTGGACAAAAGTCTACTACATCCTTTTGTTCTAAAAGGTGTACAATGGTTAAAGGAAATAATCCTTGGGGAATGGCTAGAGTTGTTGTGCCACTATTGTCAATCTCCCATGCTATGAGAAGTGGTTGTATTTCTGTTGGTGGGTCATTGAGCTTGTCGTAAGATGGTAATGCACATGGAAAAAAATAGTCTCCTTCTTCTCTGTTTTCCACTTTAGCAATGATGTGGAGGTGTCTTAGAACAGTGATCATGTGAGATGATTTAAAATCTTTATCAAAAATCTGTTTGCCAAAAACTTTCAAAAGATTTTTTTTAAAAAGCCAAATTTCATGAGGCTATTTAATTCACCTACTGAAGGAGGCGGATTAGCAATCAACGGTAATTCAGCATGGCCAATGGATGTGATAGCCATTAGACGTGAAAGGACATCAAGAATTGGTTTAGGATCAACAAACACTAAATTTGGTAGGACATCACGATAATAAAGAATGATAGTGACATTGTGTAAATATTGAAGAGCTTCATTGATATCTGATTCTTTATCAAATTTAAGAGACATACCAATCTTAATCACTTCCTCTTTTGTAAGAAAGCTTCGTTTCTTCTTTGTAGCTTCCATCTGCAATGAAATTTCAAAAATAAACAATCGGATTGGCAACTTAAGTGTCATTTTAACTCCGCAATTTGAAATTGCAGTACAAATATCTATGCTAGCCTTTTTCCTTTCTTCAGACCCAGCAGGGAGCAATGTATTGACTGGAAATATAACCGAACCTTGACGCTCATTGTGAGAAATCACTTTTTTATTAGCTCTATATTCTCTCAGACTTCCATTCATTTCTTTTAGCTTTGCTTCAGTTACCAACTCTTTACGTGTACCAAGAATAAGATAATGAGGATGCCTGAGCATGTCAGAGCCGTAAGGAATTTTGACATGATTCAACATAGCTTCGGAGCTAATTGTTGAGCATATTATATCACGATTAGAATATTTCAGGTCTGTATTAATAGGAGATGTAGTTTGACTAATACGATATTGAAACTTGCACTTCTCATCAAGACCTTTGGTGAGATCAATGGTGATGATATTCAGTGCAGCTGCTCTTGTAAAAAGAGGTAGCAACTCTCGATATGCTGGTTGACCACCAGAATCAATGAAATAAACCCAATTTGTGCTTAATTTTTTAGATTTTGCTGTTTCAAGAGCATTTGCAATTTTTTAAATTATTTCCATATCAATTGACTTTTTCTTGGTTGGTTCTTCCAGTGATAATTCGTCTGAATGATCAGGTACATCATTTGCAGATGATAGTGCTTCTTCTAAATGAGACGCTAGCTGGTTAAGTAAATCCTCAATTTCAACCCTCTCCCACTTCTTATTTTTATCATCAATGGATATTCTTGTTGCTTTAACAGCAGGACAAGCTATTGGTGTACTATCAGTGAGTTTCTCAGGTGGTGGCTCATTAAGTAGGAGGTGTAGTGAACACGTTTTACCAGCTCCAGGTGCACCATGCATATTGATACGAGTGATTTCTAGCTCAACTTCACCTTCTTCCAGCCATTTTTCTATTTTTCCTAAAAATTAACGTATATAATAATATGCCACACTGCCTTTCATGGCTTAAATTAGTATGAGGTTAAGTGTTGTAGTTGTTGTAATGTAAGTATAGGTTATACACGAGGTAGAGGTTTCTATGGTATTTATTAACCGAGTGACGCAGTCGCGAGGTTAATAAATATGACACTTGACACTTGAAGTTGAAAAACAACTACCAGCTGCTGATAATAAGACCACAGTTGACATACATACAACATATCTAACAGGCTAGGCCAGTAAAGAATCAACCAAACTTGATAAATGGACTAATAAGAGCATAAGCTTAGAGTACCAAACTGCCAATCAATTAATTATCTAACGAGATAGGTTTATATTTTTACGAGCTAGGTTAATATGAAAAATAATTGACCTCCAATACTGCAATCTGATTGGTCAATCGCAAGGTGGCATGGTAGAATGTATGAGGGAATTCTGAATTTCTGAATACCTTGTGTTCCATCAGCAGCTGATAAAGTGTCTTCAGATTCATCAATAGGAATACTAGCACTGCTGCTGTTAATAGCTTGCACCACTGAAATAGATACTGTAAAAAGTAAAAAAAAATATGTAAATATGTGTCATACAATAAAACCAAAGGTAGTGGCAGGATTATCAGTTGTGACTTGTTTCTACAATGTAGCTACTGAGGGAGTGACTATGATAAAAAGGTTGGACATTGCAATGGTTACATTTTAACTTTAAAAGGATA